TCAGCCTCATCAGACTACAAATGACCGAAAATCCAACAATTGAAAATCGATCTCCACTGTTCAGAATGAAGAACAATGAGTTTTTTAAATACTCACCAAATTTCAGTCTGATCCGAATAAAAACTATCTGATCGTGAAAATAAGCAAAACACGTTAGATATAATTTTTCCAGTAAAAATTACATTTTTTTTGTTCACTTTGTTTTAGTGGCTGAAAACTTGTTTTTATATTATTTTTTAGAACTTAAGTGGTATACCCATAAAAAAAACTCTAATAATCTTAATGAGACAAAAAAATAAGTAGGTTCAAAAAATATTTGGGTTTTTACACATAAGAAGGAACCTAAAACCCAACAATAACTTGAGTACTCTCGTGGCTATCATAACTTGTTGCAATCTATTTGATTATATTAAAAAAACATAAAATGTCATCTATTTTCGGATAAAACAAGTAAATTAAATAAAAATGCATATGATAAATTGATGATAGGTGGAAATTTTTTTTTTATTGAATTAAGTTATAAGATGATTACCAAAAAAATATTTTTATCTATTTCACACTTCACTAAATATCTCACCTTTTTTTATGTTGTAATAAACATATAATTTTAGGATTATTACGTTTATATTTAATAATTTAATACTTATTTATTATATAGGAGCTTGGATTATAATTATTTTAAAAAGTTCTCCTAATATGTGTGAGTAGAGACTTTTATGTCTTTTCAAATGGAAGCTTAAAATATGAAACAAAATTGTCAGAAGTGGGATTTGAACCCACGCCCTCTCACGAGGACCAGAACTTGAGTCTGGCGCCTTAGACCACTCGGCCATCCTGACTCTGTGGCCTGCTTGTGTTAAATAATATTATTATAGATAGAATGGGGATGGATTTAAAAATGTCAGAGACATTTTGTTTCACGAGTTTTTCTACTTACTAACTTTTTTAAAAAAAAATATAAAAATATATAAATTACTATAAAACACTTAAGCATCACTAGACTCATGTTAAAAATTTTATGAGTTTATTATATATTATTAAAATATAAAATACATGATCAGCTACTTAAAATTAAATAAAGAAATATAAATTTATAGTATTAAAAAAAGCTGAATACCCAAATAAATCAGAGAAACCACCCCCTTTATAATTGTGTCTCCTCTTAATATGGTTTGATCCCATTACATTTAAAATGGTATTTTGTTTTGTTTTTTTTCTTAAGAAATTGAGTCAAAATAATTTGTACATTTGGAGATGTGTTCATGAATTTAAGAACAGTGGGGGGGGGTGGGTTCAAATTTAAGATAGAAAAAAAGCCTTAATTGTTTGAATTATTGATGTTGGGTACATTAATGAAGATGAAGAAGTAAAACCCTAATCAACAACAAAACAGATGAAGGAATGAAGTCATGACAGGCATAAATTTCTTAGACCAGCCATCAACCCCCAACGTCTCATATTTAATTAATTAGATTAGTTAGTTTGGTATATTATCACCAAACAAAGAAGCCATTCAACAACCAAATCCCAGTCTTAGTTTATAAAATTCTTTCATCTGTCATTTGTTTGTTTTTAATAAGTAAGTAAAATTTTAATCAAGATCAGACTTATAATATATAATTTAGTTGGATTAACAATTTAATTTATTAATGTATTGGTAGATTTACGATAATCAAATTAAATTAAATTTTAGTTAAAAAAAATATTTAATCAGAATTATTTTCTTTTAATTATAGTAGTGATATCAGAAAATTAATTTTTTATTTTATTTTATTTATCATAATGAATCATATATAGTAAATAGGAAGATCCAAAAAAAGGGCAATGATATTATATTATTATATACACTCAGAGGCAATAATATGTATTAATTATTGTTTCCAAGTATTTTTGTAAAATATAATTCTTCTACTCTAAGAGGACTTTGTATTAATTGTTAACCACAAACGTTTCAGAATTTATTACATCATTAACTTGTATGAATAGTTTTTCTTTTTCTTGTAACGAAGCTTTTCTCTGCTTTAATAAGGAAGGAAATTATGGTGTGAGGGGAAAAGGAGAAAAGGTTTTGTTAGGTCAGGGAAAGAGAGAAGCTTCATCTCCACATGAATGTTTTTTATTTTTGAAGAGCAGAAGGTATTTACTTTGTTCCTTAATTTCTTTATGAAGAATATTTATATTTAATGAAAAATGGGTATTCATGATTTCCACAAGGAGAAGTTAGTAATTAATTAAAAGCAAGCTTTTTATTTTGTTTGACAGAAAAAAAGTAAAAAAAAAGTTGGTAAGGGATTACTTTTCTGCAAGTCAATTCCAAATCCTCTTTGTGTAATGAATTTCAGGAAACCAAACATGGAAAGCTTACCCAACAAAACTACTCTTTCCATTTCTTCTTCTCTTTCCTCACACATTTACATTTTTATACACATATATGTATATTATACGTATCACTGCCTTTCTTCTAATTGCCGTATGCATCTCAGCTCTTTTGTTTACGGACAAAACAAATTCATGATGGGATGGACGAGTACTAGTTTGTTTGGTTTAATGACGACTACGATGATGATGATGATGATGATAAAGCTTGTTTATGGAAATCACCATCATCATCATCGTTATTATCATGGTGACCAAATACACAGACTACAAGAGTTAAAGGCGTCTTTAGTTCATCGTATGTCGGCTTCTCTTCCTGTTCCTGCACCCTACCCTCAGCCTCAGGTATAAGTTTTTAATCAGTAACTGTTAAATATTTCCAAGTGCATATGAATTGACAAATCTTAAACATGTAATTGGTTCTTTGCATGTAACGTATATATTGGTGTAGGGAGTATCAAAGCCACGTGTATACGAGGTAATAAAGTACGGTGCAGATCCGACAGGAAAATCAGACAGTACAGAAGCACTGGAGAGAACTTTCGTAGATGCAATTGGAGGATCCAGTAAAGGGTTTTTAATGGAAGAAATTGCCAATCTAGGAGGCGCACAAATTTATCTCCAAGGTGGAAATTATCTCATCACAAGGCCCCTCCGATTTCCAGCATCTGCAGTTGGCAATCTTATGGTATGCTACCTTCATTTTCTATAAGCTCTGACGTAATTTATGCTAACTAAGATTGGTCAAGTTGAATTGATTATTCGAAACTCTACATTTATTTAATTACTTTAGATGGAAGCTGAAGTTAATTTTGGTTATTAAACAGATCCATGGAGGAACAATAACAGCTTCAAAAGATTTTCCAGCAGATGCTTTTTTGATTGACTTATCATCTCCTTCACCTGAAAACAGAGGCTACAATTACGAATTCATAACTCTGAAAGATTTGCTTCTGGATTGTAACCACAGGGCAGGTGGAATTTCAGTAAAAAATTCACTGAGAATCACCATTGACAACTGCTACATAACTCATTTTACCAGCAATGGCATTCTGGTTCAAGGAGGTCACGAGACGTACATCCGAAACTCTTTCCTCGGCCAACACATCACTGCCGGCGCTGATAAACGCGAGAGAAACTTCTCCGGCACCGCCATCAGCTTGATCGGAAACGACAATGCGGTCACCGACGTTGTAATCTTCTCCGCGGCGAAGGGGATCTTGATTGAAGGCCAAGCCAATACATTATCCGGCGTTCACTGTTATAACAAAGCAACTGGATTTGGGGGAATCGGAATCCACGTGAAGCTTCCTGGATTAACACAGACAAGAATCGTGAATTGTTATTTGGATTATACGGGAATTGTAGCAGAAGATCCAGTTCAATTACTCATATCAAACAGTTTTTTCCTGGGCGATGCGTTTATAGTTCTGAAATCGGTAAAGGGAATCGCGAGTGGAGTGAGCATTGTTGATAATATGTTTTCTGGATCTAACAGAGGGATTGACATGGTTCAATTGGATGGAGCTTTTCAAGAAATTGATCAAGTGATTGTTGAGAGAAACAGTGTTAGAGGAATGAATTTGAAATCAACTGAGGCGAAAAGCTCTGTTCAAGGGAATGGGAGTTCATGGATACTTGATTTCAATCAACTTCTTCTCTTCCCCAACAAGATCCGCCATGTTCAATATTCTTTCAGCACTGCGGGTAGTTTCTTCCCTAATCATGCTCTCCAGAACATGTCAGATAATCGCGTCGTCATTCAATCTAACCTCCCAGTCTCTGCAACTGTTTTTGTCACCGTGAATCAACAATGACATTTCTATATATATATATATATATATATATATATACACACACATACATATATTAATTTTTATCATCTAAGCTACACAAATTGTGAATAGGGGGGTCATTTGTAATTCGTTGGGAAATTACTGGTTTACAGATATGGTATAACAAAAGAAAAATGAAGTCATACGTAACAAACACATAATGCTTCTTAATATATAAATCAACTGGTGATTGATTGGAACAGTTATGTCGGAATCCAACGTTGGAGAAGATGATGGTGGTGGGGAAAGGGAGGAGTTGGGTAGCTACTTTATCATCGGTGTGGTGTTTGGTTATCTAATTAATCATTTCAAGTACACGTTTCATATAACAAATCAATGTTTTGGTGAACATTAAATATTAAATTTCATTTTTTTGGTCTTATATATATACTTATTAATGGTTTTCTTTATTGTTATCAAAAGTGGACTAATAAATTCATTACTTCACTAGTTTATTGCTCTGACCAATAATTCCTACCTCGAGCCATTACTTTAAAAATTAAAAATTTAATTTAATATTTTTAATTTTTTTTTTACAAATAGAAAAGAAAAAAATATAGAACCTAAAAAGACGATCTATTCAATATCAATCTGGTCAATGTATAATAAGTGTTTGAGCTCTTAAGTACATTGGTTAAAGTAGTATAACCCACAGGACAATTATGCCTCCACAAACTGAGATGACTGACACAAGTGTTATGTTGCCTATAAATATAGGATATCTACATCTCTCAATCAAAAATAGTATGACTTTAGGTTATATCTTGATATGCAAAAAATAAATACGGCAATTAATGATATGATAAAAATGATATTTCAAATAAAAAGAGTTAATCTCTGCAATAAACTTATAAATACTACAACTCAAAACAAGTTTAGGACCTTGAAGGATACCATGAACTTTAACAACCAACGAATGGCTAGTACTTAGCTACTCATAAAAGCAGCCACCCAGTAGCTCAGGTTATATCTAATAAGTCCCTAGTAGTGGTCTACTATCAGGGATGACATGAGCTGTATCATCCTTATTAAGCTTGAACCAATTAGAAAAATCCTCCAACTAAACCACAGAAATCTAGAGGGGTCTTCCTACGAATATAGAAATTGAGATCCAAGGCACACTATATAAGACTCTATTGTAGATTGAATAATGCCCAAGGTAGAAAAAGGGCGGTTCGTCCAACCAACAAAGATGTGCTTATTCATTTTCTTCAAAAGGATTCAAATAATAGTGAGGAAGATTGTCTTCTAGATCTCAATACCATGGGAGCTCACATTTAAATAGAGAAAAAATATTAAAGTTTTTAATATCAATTAAATATTTCAAAATCTGTTTGGCAAGAGGGTAGGACTGAATAGCATGAAAAAAGCTCTTCTTATGGTTGTAATATTTAAGAGACTTTATTTATTGTTATTAACAATATGTTATTATTATTTTTTTCCGCATTCACGAGTAGATGGTCAAAAGTAAAGATCCCACATAAACTTGATGAACTCGTTTAAGAGCAAATAAAGACACAAATAATTCTTTAAGGGGATTCATATGATCATCAGTTAGGTAATGACAAGAAAGAATAGATGAACTTAATTAAAAAATTGTCATCATTCATATGAGCCCAAACTGACTTTTCTGGGCTAGAGGTGTCAGGTTATCTCGAAGCATAAATGTCATGAAGTTATCCCATCACTAAGACCCATCAAGAATCATATCAAAGTTAATACATAAATATATTCAAATTTATAAATTTTTAATTTTCTATTGTACCTATCTTTGTTGCATAAATATTTATGAAATATAAGCTAATACAAAAACATTAGTAACTTTTTTAATATATATTTCTGTCGAATATAGTATTTCTAATATAAAGTTATGCATTTATTTTCTTTTGAGTCGATCTCAATATGATATTTATTTGACATATATATAAATCTCAATGATTTTTATCTAAATTTATAAGATAATATTGCATTATTTACATTTATATATTTCTGTATCCAAATAGTAATATATTAGCTCTTCAAAAGCTATCAATAATTCTTGTATTGTCACAAATTTTGTTATTATTAGTTACATCTACTATTAAACGATAAAAAAATATTTTTTGTTTTCTAATAGATATGCTGTATGTTGTTATCCTACCACAAGAAGAATTTTAATGCTTGATCTTGGATGCAAATAAATTTTGATATCCAAATAGTAATATCGTAAGATAAATGTAAAAAATAAAAAAAAAAATTATTATATATATTACAAACTATAAAGAAATAAGATAATATTATAAATTAGTAGTTAAGTTTGACATACTAATCTTGAATTCTCTCTTGAAATTTTGAAGGATAAGTCTTAGTTAAAAAAAAAAAAAAAAAAAAAATCACTTTTAAGAGTATCAAATTTTCATTTGGTTCTAATAAACCTTACAAAAATCGATTAGGTATTGTAGGATACGGCAAGTAAGAGATTAATGTCCTACCATGCTACGTGAATATATTTAGTTGTTATTATTTGTATTTCTATCGTACTAATTTTTATTCATAAATCTCCAACTTCTAGTGGCTAGAGTGATGAGCTATTATAATTATATAATTCCAATTTGGTACACAACCATAATAATAGTTTTTCATTTTGGTTTCATAAAAATCAAAATGAAAGAATAGTATAATTTTTCAAAAATTTGAAATAGTAAAAGCTATTTATAAAATATAGTGGGAAGGAAATAAAGACAAATATATGGACATGGTCTAATTAAACTAAATTAGTAAATGAAGATGTAATATAAGCTGAGAAAAGTAAATAAATTAGAGGTGAGTAGCATTTTTCCTGCTATTCAAAAGAAATCAAAAGCAAACTAAGCATATAGAGTGAGTAGTGTACATATTTAAAAAGAAATTATGTAGAAGAGAAATCCTAAAACAAAATTACGTCTTAATAATTAATTAAACACAAGCTTTCTATTTAGTTCGGTATAGAAAGTAAAAAAAAAGTCTGGTAAGGAATTCCTCTTTGTTGCAGTCAATAACGAATACTCTTTTATGTAAATTTCATTCAAAGAAAACAAACAACGAAAAGCGACTCTTTCAAAATCTTCTTCCCATGTCTTGATCTCTTTCACACATTTATATACACGCATATATGCTCACCGTTCCCTTTCTTTTAATCACAATATATATATATATATATCATATCTCCTCCTTGCACAAACAAAAAACATTGCCACAATGGGTTGGAGACTTACTGGCCTGGCTGCTCTGATGATGATGATTAAGATTAAATTTGTTTACGGGGATCACTATCATCATTATAATCACCACAGTGAGTTGAAGGAGCCTTTAATTCATCCTATGCTAGCTTCATTTCCTGCACCTACACCTCACTCTGAGCCTCAGGTATAATTTCATACGTCTAATTATTTGATTATTTAAAAACACATATGAGTTCGCATATTTTATAAATATAATTTATTCATTGTGTATTGGTGCAGCAAGGATCAAGACCACCGCGTGTATACAAGGTAACAAGTTATGGTGCGGACCCAACGGGAAAATCAGATAGCACAGAGGCATTTGAGCGAGCTTTCGCTGATGCAATTGGGGGACCGGATCAAGGATCATTGATGGAAGGAATAACCAATCTTGGAGGTGCACAAATCGATCTCCAAGGAGGCAACTATCTCATCGCCAGGTCTCTCCGCCTTTCGCCTCACCCAGTTGCCAACCTTTTGGTATGCTGCAGCCATTCTTTTTAGTAATTCAGATGAAAATAATTAAACTGACAAAAAGTATGTCTCAATTTTCTAAATATATTGAACTGATTATTTGAAAATGTAAGTAGAAAAGGAATGGAGTTAATGAAAAGGATCTGCATTTATTTACTTGAAATGGAAGCTGAAGTTAATTTTGATTATTAAACAGATTCATGGAGGAACCTTAACAGCTTCAAAAGATTTCCCAGCAGATGCCTTTTTGATTGACTTATCATCTTCTTCACCCAAAACCGGAGGCTACAACTATGAATTCCTAACTCTGAAAGATTTACTTCTGGATTGTAACTATAAAGGAGGTGGAATTTCAGTAATAAATTCACTGAGAATCACCATTGAAAACTGCTACATAACTCATTTTACCAGCGACGGCATTCTGGTTCAAGGAGGTCACGAGACGTACATTCGAAACTCTTTCCTCGGCCAACACATCACTGCCGGCGGCGACAAAGGCGAGAGAGACTTCACCGGAACGGCGATTCGCCTAATGGGCAACGATAATGCTGTCACAGATGTGGTCATCTTCTCTGCTGCCGTAGGGATTTCGATTGAAGGCCAAGCCAATATAATATCCGGCGTTCACTGTTATAACAAAGCAACTGGATTTGGGGGAATCGGAATCCACGTGAAGCTTCCTGGATTAACACAGACAAGAATCGTGAATTGTTATTTGGATTATACTGGAATTGTAGCAGAAGATCCAGTTCAATTACTGGTATCGAACAGTTTTTTCCTGGGCGACGCGTTTATACTTCTGAAATCGGTAAAGGGAATTGCGAGTGGAGTGAGCATTGTTGATAATATGTTTTCTGGATCTGACAGAGGGATTGACATTGTTCAATTGGATGGAGCTTTCGGAGAAGTTGATCAAGTGATTGTTGAGAGGAACAGTGTTAGAGGAATGAGTTTGAAATCAACTGTTGCGAGCAGCTCTGTTGAGGGGAATGGGACTTCATGGCTAGTTGATTTTAATCAACTTCTTCTGTTTCCAAACAGGATCCGCCGTGTTCAGTATTCTTTCAGTACTGGTGGTGATAGTTCATTCCCTAATCACGCTCTGCGAAACACTTCTAATAATCGTGTGGTGATCCAGTCGAATCTTGCAGTCTCTGCAACTGTTTTTGTCACCGTGAATCAACTAGCATAATAAAATTTTTTTGTATAATTTTATTTTTATATCTGAACTATGAAAAATGTGAATAGGGTCAATGGTTTTGTCTTTTTACATGAACACTTGAGATATATATATATTTTTTCAATTAATTTGGTAGTAACATGAAATAAAGCACAAAGGAACAGAGAGGTCACACGAGCTTTCCACCAAACCTTTTTCCTCCAATCTACAAATCTCTGTTTTTGCTTTACTTTCTTTTCACCTTCTTCCCCTTTTCCTTTTTAATTAATTTTTGTTTGTATTTTTCTTGATTTCATAAAGAGAGCATCTAATTATTGTAACTTAATTAGAAAAGATTTAAAAGAATACGAAAAATATGTTTGATAGCTGGAAACAGAAATGGGCAAATACGAGGCTGAAGCTTCCGCTTCATACCTTTCATTTATTATTACAACCATCTTCTCTCATATATAGATATACGTGTATGTAGAGGGAGGGGAGTAGGAATAGAAAAAGGCAAGAAACAGGGGGAAAATGAAAGTAGTGGTAATCTCATTATTGATTTGGGTGCAGGCAATAACATGCTGTACAAGAAACCAGATGTTACAAGACTTTGAAGCAAAGCTTCAGCACAGATTAGCATCTCTTAATCCATTACCGCCACCGTCAATCAACAGTCCTAAAATGGTGAGTGATTTCGTTACTTATAATTTTGATTTTGTTTGTATAATGATGATGATGATGATGATGATGATGATGATGATGATGGTGATGGTGATGGTGGTGGTGGTGGTGTAGAATGGGAGAGTGGTGTATCCAATCGGCTACGGAGCAGACCCGACCGGATCCGAAGACAGCAGTGACGCCATACTTGAAGCTCTGAGCGATGCGTTTGAGTTGGGAAATGGAATGGAAATGCTGCCTGGTGTAAGCGATTTGGGTGGTGTTGTCATTGATTTTGAAGGTGGAAACTACCAGATCACAAAACCCATCACCTTTCCACCTCTCAGTGCTGGCAATCTTCTGGTTTCTCTCTCTCTCTCTCCTTCTCCTTTCTCACTTAACTATTCACTACATATATAATTAAGTATATGTTAGGGTTTTCCGGGGATTGTGTGGGCTCATGGGTATGTCCCACGTTGCCATTTTGCATTTTGTCCTTACTGCTCTGTTTTTCATACTTGGGGCTGCGTGTAAACCTATTACTTCTTCTTCTCTGCCACCTGCAACTTCAAAACTTTGGAAAAATTAAAGCTTTCTCTTCTCTGTCTTCTTTTCATCTTCTCTTTAATTAATGTACGCAACTCTCAACTACATTTTATACGAAGGCTTTTCCAACTTTTTTCCTATCAAAGCATGTGATCGACTACTTTCCTCCTCTTCTTTTATCTTAAAAAATTTCATTTTCCCATGTCAAAAGCTTCATTTTCTTTTACCCATTTGAAGTTTTCATTTTCCCATCTCAAAATCTTCATCTTCTTTTACCCATTTGAAAATTTCCTTTCCCTTTTCTCCATTTAATGTTCTCTAAGTAGTTTGTTGCGCACATTGATTATGTACTTCATCTTGCAATTAATAAACTTTTCAATATTTAATCCATTTCCCAATTTCTTCTAAACCCATTATTTCGATATACACACACACACACACACACGCACACACATGTAAACCCATTTGGCAATCACGGTGATATAATCAACATTATTTGATGAATTAGGTAAAAGGAGGTACTCTGAGAGCGTCGCCAACATTTCCAGCTGATAGACATCTTGTGGAACTTGCTCCATCAGGCTCCCTAAAATCATCCTCAACTTATCATCCCACTACTACCTTTACCGACTCCAAGGACCATAACGCCGGCATTTACTACGAGGGTATCACCTTTCGCGACATTTTCTTTGATTCAACCTACCGAGGAGGTGGTCTTTTGGTCGCTGATTCTGCTCGCATTCGCATCATTAACTGTTTCTTTCTCCATTTCACAACACAAGGAATTCTCGTTGTCCGCGGTCACGAGACCTTCATATCAACTACATTCTTAGGCCAACACGAAACAATAGGTGGCGATCAAGCCGAGAGAGACTACTCTGGCACTGCCATCGATCTTGCTAGCAACGACAACGCGATTACTGATGTCGCCATATTTTCAGCAGCGGTTGGGATTTTACTTAGAGGTCAAGCCAACATTGTTACAGGAGTTCATTGCTATAACAAGGCCACCTATTTCGGTGGCACAGGCATTCTCGTGAAAAAGAGTCCTGGGTCATCTCTAACCAGAATAGACAATTGTTATATGGATTATACCAGTATAGTTATGGAAGACCCAGTTCAAGTTCATGTCAGTAATGGGCTTTTCTTAGGAGATGCTAATGTGGTTTTAAAGTCCATCAATGGTAGAATCTCTGGAGTTAACATTGTGGATAATATGTTTACTGGTAGTCCTACAAACATGGTACCAATAGTAAGAGTAGAAGGTGTGTTTAGCAGTACTGATCAAGTGGTGATTGATCGGAACAATGTGGCCGGAATGAGGTTGAAATCGACGGTGGGGAAGATGACGGTGGCGGGAAAAGGGAGGAGATGGGTTGCTGATTTCTCGTCAGTTTTAGTGTTTCCGGATCGGATTAATCATTTTCAGTACTCGTTTTATGGGAACGATCAAGGGGTGGGTGGACGTTCGGTGGTGCATGCGGTGACGAATGTTTCAAACAATGTGGTGGTGGTGGAGAGTGATGAATTAGTGAGTGGTGTGGTGTGTGTTTTTGTTGATCAGTATAACATGGTTGGGGAAACTAATTCTGTCACGAAATATTAAATTTCTTTGAATTATATATATATATATATATTTTGTTTACATAATTATGAATGCTTTATTTATTTGTTATGAAAAGCTTCATCTTGGGAAGCGCTCACTGCTTTGATTATCTCTCCAAATCTATGAATTGAGATGAGTTTTTAGCTGTAAGTATTTATGATAGATCTTTTCTGTTATGTCAAGAGCCAAAAACTCAAGCTTCATAAGATTGACAATCTAGAAGCTTTCACAAAAGTATCAAATATAATAGGTAAATAATTATAAATATATAAAGACAGACAAATAATTAAGATGAGTATATACAAGTCATCTAAATAAATGATAAAAATTAAATAAGTAAAAGAAAATTATGTAAAAATAATAAAAATTGTGATACTCTCATCCGAAAAATAATATAATTGTTAAGCTCCATAAAAAAGCTCAAGTCACGTATTATTTGAGTTTAGATTTTTAATGGTTTATGCTTAAAATATTATTGAAAATAATTAAGTGTAAAAAAGAGGAGGGGGGAAGGTTGAAAGGAAATGGACATGTTGAACGTGTAGCTCAAAACTCTAAAATGAAGAGTCGAGATTTTTTCTGTTTTTAAAATCGGTCACTGGGACAGTTGGTCGTCTCAGTAAATTCTAGAGACCACCTCCCCCTTTTTCTTTTACTCTTCTGGATGTGTGTAAATTTCCAATGTCTCCACATAATAAAACATGTAGAAAATTAAAGAGCATTAAATACTCCATATTTACCCAGTTGAGTTTCTTTACATAGTATCAGAGCAGTACTTGTGATAAAAACTGATTTTTACACTACACTATTACTCTACTACTCAATGACATACGCTAATACAGATGTGTTGACACTCTTAAACTCGGATCAGTCTGGAATGCAACTTGTCATAACTACCCTTGATGGTTCCAACTACTTGTCTTGGAGTCGAGCCATGGTGATTGCGTTGAGAGCCAAGGACAAGCTCGCTCTCGTTGATGGCAAATGCAAACAGCCCGAACCTGATGCAATAGAATATGTACAATGGCACAAAACAGACAGCATAGTGGTGTCCTGGATCTTAAACTCGATGAACAAAAAGCTCGCTAGCGCATTCCTGTTCACCACATCAGCAAAAAACCTATGGGATGAAATAAAAGAGAGGTATGATGAAAGTAACGAGCCTCTGTTGTATCAATTAAAACATGAAATAAGTTTCATCATGTAATCTAACCTTTCTGTCGTAGCCTATTACACAAAACTTAAAAGGTTATGGGATGAGTTAACTCATCTAAGGCCCTCATCGGCTTGCACTTGCCATGCTCCAACACAACACAGTGAAATAAACAATATCGACAACCTGATCCAATTTCTAATGCGTCTTAATGACATACGATCATGTTAGAAATCAAATATTGATCATGGAATCCTTACCTGGTGTGAATAGAGCTTATTACATGGTGATTAGTGTTGAAAAATAAAGAGAAGTACATTATATCAACTCACCTGAAGGGATGCCCATCGTATTTTACACCAACCTGAAAGACAATCCAAAATTTTCAAACTAAAAAAAAAGGAAAAATGCAGTAGGACATGCACTTATTGTAGAAACATAGGGCACACGAAGGACACATGCTTCAAGCTCTATGGTTACCCAGAATGGTTAGCAGAACTTAAAGAGAAAAGGAACAAAGAAAGAGCCAATGCAATGGTAAACAATGCCCCCTATGGCACCAAAACAGAAGCATCCAACACAAATTGGGACATAGAAATGGCCACATTCATATAATAAGAGATCAGCAAGTACATGAAAAATCAAGGAGCAAACACGGTAGAATTGGCAGGATGTGTGGGCTACTCTGGCCCTGCTGGTAAGCAACCTAAATGTTATTTTCTACATACCTCTTATGATATAGGAACTTGGATAATAGACATAGGTGTCACATCACACATGTACCATGATTTTAAAATGCTTTCAAAACTTGTAAAACTAGAACTTACAGTGTTTATCTCGCTATCAGACAGAACCACGAGTCATTCAACCCACAAAGAAACCATAAAATTGTGTGATAATCTAATTCTGCAGGATATCCTCTATATACCAAAACTCACTTGTAACCTTATTTCTGTTAGAAAGCTAACCCAAGCTTCAAATACCTACATTTCCTTTCATCTCAACCATTGTTTTGTGCAGGATTTGACAACTAACAAAATATTAAGGAAGGGAACAATAATGAGGGCTTGTACACCCTGAGTGAAGACATATACTCTAACAAAGCATGCATTAGCCACATCTATGAAAACAATATACAACTATGGCATAAAAGACTCGGCTACACATCCACAAAAAATTTGATCCACATCCCTAGTCTAATGTTACCAGACAGTGCAACTTTACATGATTGTGAAATATCCCTTGGCAAAACAGTAGCGTTTGTCTTTTCCTAAAAGCTCCATCAATACCGATGACATTTTTAGTTTAATACATGTTGACCTTTGGGGACCATACCCGGTCAATTGTATTTCTGGTGCATTCTATTTTTTAACTATAGTTGATGATTTTTCAAGAGTCACTTAGACTTATTTATTAAAAGAGAAAACGAAAGTACCAAATACTTTAAAATATTTTTGCAATCTACTACAAAATCAATTTCAGAAAACAATCAAAACAATTAGGATAGACAATGACATTGAGTTCATAAACACTTCATGCAAAACTATTTTTTAAGAAAGGGGAATCATGTATTAAAAAACCTGTACATACACACCACAGCAAAATGGTGTGGTGGAAAGGAAACATAAACACCTACTGCAAATTGCTAGGGCATTGATGTTTGAATCAAAATTACCAAAAAGGTTTTGGGACGAAGCCATACTCACAGCCACACACACACAATAAACATTTTGTCAAGCTCTGTTTTAAAGTGAAAAACTCCTTACGAAATTTTGTACAAAAAATAACCAGATTACTCAAACCTAAAAGTCTTCGATTGTCTCTGTTTTGCTACAAATATTAACCCCCAAAAGGACAAGTTTAAACCCAAGGCTTTGAAATGTGTTTTCTTAAGATATGCACCCGATGCTAAGGCCTACAAATTATATGATATAATAAACATAAAAACGATTTTGTCAAGGGATGTCATATTCCATAAACATATTCTCTCATACCAAACACAACAACCTAAACCAGATTACCATGATACACCACTGCCAATACCAAGTAACGACATAGTAACCACACCTGAAAACCAATTACAAATAAGAGAAGAAATTTCCTTACCAAACATCATTCCCCCAAGAGTTTGAAATGAGAAGGAGCATCAGGGTGAGAAGTAGGCCCGCCTGGATGGAAGACTTGGTCGCCCATACCACCGAACAACCTATGCCTGAATCTCCCTTCCTCATGTCCACCTCACCTGCATACAATCATGGCTATGATAATTTAATTGCACAAGTGTCTATTACGAAGGAACCAATGTCATACATGGATGCTAAAAAGGATAGCAAGTGGGTTGAGGCCATGCAAGCCAAGCTGTCCTCACTAGAAGATAATAACACTTGGGAACTAACTGCACTACCAAAAGGAAAGAAAGCAATCGACTCAAAA